AGAGAAGGACAGACACCATATGTTTGCATGTATAGGAGGATTAGGAGGAACTTAATGGAGGACCATGGGGGAGAAGAAGGGGAAAAATAGTGGGGGGGAGGGAGGGAGGCAAACCATGAGAGACTCTTGAATGCTGAGAAGAAAGTGAGGACTGATGGAGGTGCGGGGAGGTAAACGGGGGTGATGGGCATGGAGTAAGGCACTTGTGGGGATGAGCACTGGGTGTTATATGGAAACCAACTTGACAAAAACAATTTAAAAAAAGAATTTATAAAGAAAAGGGGTGTCTAAAAAGTTGTTTGGTGGCTGTTTTTTCTGTTCTGAAAGACTGATAAAAGAGTTTAGGTTTTATTCTTAAGGACAATGAAAACTTTTTGATTATGAGATTAACGTGATCTATTTCTGGAACATTCATTTAGAAATAGCAAAAAGGAGGGTAACATTTTGAAGTGTTGCCCAGAATACAACATAACTTGTGAAAAAACGCAATACAAAAAAAGAGAAGTGGCTAATTATGCTCCAAAATGTTTCTATTTACAGTCGTGGCAGAGACTACCAGCTGTCCTCTGAAATCCATTTTCCTTTCCTCTAAAATAAATCTCTGACAACAGAGTGGCAAGGCTCGGCGGATCTTGTGTCCTTCATATTCCTCCCAGTGAGTGCCTTCATGAGCACAAAAGTTTGTCTCCAACCATAAACTGGTTTAGAATCTGAAGCAGAAGCAATTGCAGGCAACCAGTGTCCTTAGTCCTGTCCCTAGGTTACTAAAGAGTAGCCCTTGCCATCAGCCCTTGGAAATCATTCTGAAAAGGAACTGGTATCAAAACAGAAAAATGAAGAATCAAGGTAACAATGGACTCTGGAAGATTTTGATTTAGCTGCCTGCTAGGTAAAAGAAACTTTGATAATGTTTACTGGGGGAAAGAAAAAACAAGTTTATCCTGGTTCTTGAAGTATTATTTACTTATTTATTTTATTTTATTACAAATAGTTTATTGTCAAGTTGGTTTCCATATAACCCCCAGTGCTCATCCCCCCAAATGCCCCCCTCCATGCCCATCACCCCCGTTCCCCTCCCTCCACCCCCATCAGTCCTCACTTTGTTCTCAGCATTCAAGAGTCTCTCATGGTTTGCCTCTCTCTCTTTCCCCACCATTTCCCCCCTTCTTCTCCCCCATAGTCCTCCGTTAAGTTCCTCCTAATCCTATATATGCAAACATATGGTGTCTGTCCTTCTCTGCCTGACTTATTTCGCTCAGCATAACACCCTCAAGGTCTGTCCATGTTGCTACACATGGTCAGATTTCATTCTTTTCATTGCCATGTAGTATTCCATCGTATAGATAAACCACATTCTTGAAGTATTATTTAAAGCTCAACTGGAGAACGTAAGAGCTAAGCATCAGCTTAGAAGTATAAATCCAATCCCATCTAAGATATCCAAGTATTTGCAGACTGTACAGTTACTCCCATGATGCCACCATAGTTTACCTAATTCTAGAATATGCACCCCTTGTACCTATCCATGGAGAACTTCATGAACTGTGAGTCTGATGAGCAGAAGACTGCAACTCTGAGATCACAGGACTGGCAGATGCCCTGTCTTACCACAGTTTAAAGAGAGTTTTTATGGAGACATTAAGCCAGAGAACTTGCTCCATAAATGAACTAGAGAATTTAAGATTACAGATTTTGGGTAGTTGGTATATGGGCTCATCCTCCAGAACCACCCTGGAGTGGTTGCTGCACCCTGGACTACTTGCCCCTTGAGATGATTAAAGGCTGAACACATGTTGAGAAGGTGAATCTCTGTAGCCTTGGGGTTCTCTGCTATAAATTTCTAGTTGGGAAGACTCCTTTTGAAGCAAACACATACCAAGAGATCTATAAAAAACAAACAAACAAACAAACAAACAAACACCCTGTGGGTTGAATTCACATTCCCTGACTTTGTACCAGGGGGAGCCAGGGACTTCTTTTCAAGACAGCTAAAGCATAACCCCAGCCAAAGCCTGATTCTCAAAGAAGTACCCAAACACTCCTGGATGACAGCAAATTCATCAAAACCATCTAGAAGCAAAAAAAAAAAAAGCAAAGATTCAACTTTGAATCTTTCCATCTTAAGAACCTTTCAGGGAAGGGTGCCTGGCTGGCTCAGTTAGTAGAACATGTGACTCTTAATTTCAGGATTGTAATTGTGGGCTCCACATTGGGTGTAGAGATTACTTAAAACAAAACAAAACACAACAAAACACCTTTCAAGGAGAGACTCCCTATGCCAGGGCTGCTGTAGAATCTGTCAGGAACCAGCCACTGACATTAATCTTACTGCTGGCTGTCTGCCTGCAATCTAGAGCATTTCAGATTTTTTTTTTCCTGACCAGGCAGTACACTTTGGTCTCCAATCAGAAAGTGTCACTTCAGTAAACATGACACTGTGAAATGAAAGAAGCCACAAGACTTGTGCTAACTTCACTGTGTTTCATAATCTGGGGGGAAAAGTTCAATTGCAGCTACCCCACAGCCTGTTTTGAGTCAGGCGTCCTTGTGAAAGATGAAGCCGGGGTCTGGCTCTGGAAGAGCAACTGCTTTGTTCTGACATGATCAAAGAGCTATGCAATAACTTTCCAAGTACCTGAGGCCGTGTGCATCTTACTTGGTAGCTGAGGCTGGAAAAGCTTCAGAATGAACGTGTAATTCTTTCTTTCAAATGTTAAAATGAAGATTTTTATTTATTTTTTTTTAAAAAAAGAAATAGAATCTTGATTTAATTGGGCATATGGTTACCAGAATAAAGATTGTATTTCCCAGCCACCCTGGCAACACAGCTTGGTATGAGCATGTGACTAAGTCTGGCCAATAGAATGGAAGGGGAATGGTACACGTAACTTTTGGGAAGTACTTAAAAGGAGGAATGTATTTTTTTCTTTTCCTTTCTTCCTTCCTGTTGGCTGGAATACGGACCTGATGGCTACCAAATGGGAATGGAGGCTAAAAGCTGTTCCAACAACAGGGGAAACAGAGCTTTGTTCCCTTGATACACTGGAGTACCATGTCATCCAGGGATGTCTACATCTGGACTTTTACAAGAAAGAAAAATAATTTCCTGTCTTCTTTTAAGCCAATATTACTTTGTTTTTGTTTTCATCTCTCAGAGCCAAAATAAATCCTAACTTAAACACACTATTATAGGCATTTTTAATTAGCATAATCCCATTGAAGTAAATTAACTGGATAGGTAGTTAGGAAGTAAATAAGCTGAATTCCTAAAGAATAAAGGCTTATATACAACTATGGTATTAGAGAGTGAACATCTCGTAGAACTGATTTTTTTCCTTTTTTTTTTTTTTTTACAAATAGTTTATTGTCAAGTTGGTTTCCATAGAACACCCGGTGCTCATCCCAACAAGTGCCCTCCTCCATGCCCATCTCCCCCCTCACCCCCTACACCCATGAGTCCTCAGTTTGTTCTCAGCATTCAAGAGTCTCTCAAGGTTTGCCTCTCTCCCTTTCCCCCACCATTTCTCCCCTTCTTCTCCCCCATGGTTCTCCCATGGGGGAGAAGTTCCTCCCAATGGGAGTTAAGTTCCTCCCAATCCTCCTATACGTGCAAACATGATATTTGTCCTTTTCTGCCTGACTTATTTCGCTCAGCATAACACCCTCAAGGTCCATCCATGTTGCTACACATGGCCAGATTTCATTCTTTCTCATTGCCATGTAGTATTCCATTGTATAGATAAACAATATCTTCTTGATCCATTCGTCCATTGATGGATACTTAGGCTCTTTCCATAATTTGACTATTGTTGAGGGTGCTGCTATGAACATTGGGGTACATGTGCTCCTATGCATCAGCATTTCTGTATCCCTTGGGTAAATTCCTAGCAGTGCTATTGCTGAGTCATAGGGGAGTTCTATTGTTAGTTTCCTGAGGAACCTCCACACTGTTTTCCAGAGGGACTGTACCAGATTATATTCCCACCAACAGTGTAGGAGGGTGCCCGTTTCTCCACATCCTCGCCAGCATCTAGAGTTCTCTGAATTGCTCATTTTAGCCACTCTGACTGGTTATTTTTTTTACCAGGAAAGTTTTTAAAAGTCCATTATGTGAATTTCTGTCAATGAGATTAACTTGTATACTATCTTTCCAAAGTTCTCCAGAAATGTCTTAAAGAGCTTTAAAAATGTTAATTTTACTAGTCTATATCAAAAACTTGCAGCTAATATCCTATTTCACATATGAGCAACACAGAGAAAAGTTGAAGGCAGCAAGGGAATAGAGACTACATTGCTATTTATACTCATTTTAGAAGGCCAGAAGCAAATAATATGCAGATAATCCAGTTCAGTTACCTGCAGTGGATTTTTCCAAGAATGCTTTCTCTTCAGGTGGGGCAGCCTTAGTCACCGCCTTTTTACTGTTGATATCCTTTTTCTGGTTTTTGTCTGAAAGGTTCTCATCCCCACTGATGGAAACCTGAACTTCGGCATCTGGAACAATGACATCACATGAAAAGACAACAGGATAAAGGAAAAGAAAATAAACACAGTAGGCAAGTAACCCCCACTCAAAAAAAATAAGCCCAAAACAAAAGCTAAAGCCTCTTCATACATCAAGGAAAAAGGCATCTCCTAGGCCCCACCATATAAAAGCTGTGACAGTTACAGTGGATTTAAAACATGAATTGGAAAGCTTTCCATATTTTTCTTTGTACAACAATGGTTTAAAATACCACTTAAAATGAAATCTGTTCTCTGTTGATTTGACACAACAGTTAAAAAAAAAAAAAAGATGGTATCTTTTCAAAGTAAAAAGTAGATTTGAACTCCTCTTTTGAGTTCTTTGGTCTATTCAAAGATTTTGTCACTTGAGGCAATTTTGTATTTCATATAATTCTAGAAAAGCATCTATACCATTTAGATTTTATATCTAATACTCATATGACTCTTTCAAATCTCCTGAAATTATTTCCTTTTAAAATTGTCTAATACTTTCTACCTTCTTTCCATTTTTCCTTGGTCATACTTGCTAGAGATTTATCTATCTTACTGGTCTTTTTTAATCAGCTCTTTTCTTTTTTATGATATGAGAAAACCCAAGTGTAAAATAATGTTACTCACCAATGCAGCAACTAGGATAACAGTCATCACACAGTTAATAATGTTTATATGTTTTTTACACTATTTTATTTTTAAAGGTTTATTTATTTTTGAGAGAGAGAGAATGAATTCCAACCAGGTGCTCTGCACTGTCAGTGTAAAGTCCCAAGAAGGGCTCAAACCTACAAACCATGAGATCATGACCTGAGCTGAAACCAAGAGTCAGATACTTAACCAACTAACCCACCCAGGCATCACCATTTTAATTCAGAAAGAGACAGGGCACATGAGTGAGCTTGAGTGGGGCACAGGGAGAAATACAGAGAGAGTCTTAGGCAAGCTCCATGTTCACTGTGGAGCCCAACGTGAGGCTCAATCCCATGACCCTGGGATCATGACCTGAGCCAAAATCAAGGTGGTCCAACCAAATGAACCACCCAGGCGCCCCAAGGTTATATGTTTTTACAATGGGCTGAAAAGAGATACATCTTTTATTGCTAAATATGGATTTTTTCAACAAAAAAAATCAGGAAAGCAGTAGAGATTACTAAAAACACAACATAAGTTATCTTCTAAAGAGTTTAAGAAATGAAACATTTCAGATATGATTTTCTGTTGTAAAGCCTTAGTGCTGCCTTTTCAGCAGCAACCTTTATGTTGAATTTAGAGTTTATCAACTTCACAGATGTTCTGTTTTTTTTTTTACTATACTGCAGGTTATTAATCAACAATACACGGGGTGCCTGGTGGCTCAGTTGGTTAAGTGTCCAACTTCTGCTAAGGTCATGATCTAGTAGTTTCAGAGTTTGAGCCCCATATTGGGCTCTCTGCTGTCAGTGTGGAGCCTGCTTTGGATCCTCTATCCCCCTTCTCTCTTCCTTTCTACTGCTTGTTTGTGAGCACATATGTGCATGTGCTCTTTCTCTCTCTCAAAAATAAATTTTAAACCAAAACAAAAAACAGTATGCCCAAACTGGAACATAGAACTACCCTATGTTTAACAACTGCCCTGGGATTAGTAGCACCTATTTGGCTAATAGCTACGCACAGGAATAAAAAACTGTAAAAGAAACAAAGCAATACAGACAATTACACATGTAGAATTTTTAGTGGCCACTGGAGTCTCCATCTAATAAATACTACCATGTATCAACTAAAGAAGTATAGTATCAAGGATGAAGAGAACAAAAAAATCAAGCAGGTCCCTAAATATTAAAGCTTTTATAAAAGTTAGGCCTTTATCTGGAGATAAAGTTGAAACTTCAAATAGCCAAAGTGACCAGACAGATAAGGTAGGATGAATGAAGCAGACTGGGTCTGAGAAGTGTGGGGACTTAATGCAAACAGAATGTACATCCTCTCTGTAAGGAACAGCCATGACTCAGGGGCAGGTGATTATTGGCATGAAGGAATGCAAGCTGAGTGCAAACAGATACTCTGATTTTTCCAGGGAAGCCCAAAATCTTATTTTTAAATTTTGGCAGCAAAATGAAAAGAAAATTTAAAACACCATGAAAGCCATATACTTCCAACCCATGAAAATATTAATTTGTACTATCTCACAGATAATTTCATGAGGCAAATTTAATCAAGGTTTTCGGGGTTTCAGTTTGTAAAATATACCTGATTGGATATTATTTCAAAAGTTGCAATATATTTTATTTCCCACAGTGAAAATAAAGTTCATAGCTTTAAGAAACCTGTCACGCATTTTAAAAGATTTCATAAATATTTTAACTTCTTGTATATACCCAATAACATAGCTAACAGAAAAGTTTGCATAACACCAGAAATAAGATAAAGACTGGACAAATATTCTCATTTTGGATGACCAGAAAAAAGCCACAAAATAGAAAAAGCTAATCCAGTTACCTGTATTATCTTTCTGAGGGTTTTTTTTCCCCACTGTCGAGGATGGCTTAGACACCACCCTCTTACTGTAGATACCCTCTTTATGTTTAGTGTTAGCAGGGATTGACAGGTCATCATCCCTTGTGCCTAGCACCTCCGCTGGGAAGTCTGGAGCAATGGCATCATTGGATCCTATAGTAAAGCAGGAAAGTAGTACAATTAACAAATATATAGACATAAAGTTGTAGAAAGACAAAAAAATTTACCTCTTTAACCGCTTCTATTAAAAAGATACGATTGGAGTGTTGTAGTGTGATCAGAAAGTGATGTCAGTCAAATTGAAGCTGTCAGAGATGCACAATAAACTGCAACAATACAAGGTGGAGAAGCAAATGACAAAAGATATATAGAGTATCAGTTCAGAAGAGAGACAATTTCCAGTCAGGAAGGTTTTCAAAGAAAGGAGAATATAGACTATAATCTGGAAAATAAGTAAGGCTTTTGAAATATGCAGAGGAAGGAAGAAAGACCTTTTACGCAGAAGTGAAGCATGATCAAAGATAAGAAGGCAGGAAAGCAAAGAGTGTATAAGAACAGCAGTCACTGTGGAGTCAAGCCAGATCATAGAGTACATAAAAGAAAGTTGTGGGAAATATTAAAAAAAAATTGTTTGGGACAAAATTCAGCAGGGTCTGAAATCGCAAGCTAAAGAGTACAAATTGTACTCTTTGTATATGAAGTGCTACATCATTATAAATTTTTTAATAATGGGAAAATGTAACCAGCTATGTTTTAGGAAGATGAATCTGATGATAATATAAGATAGAAAACACTAAAAGGAAAATATTATGTGATAAATACAAACTTTGAAAGTAATTTTATTTTTTTAAAATACATTTCAATATTCCCATGTCCACTGGTAAGAGAAGTTTATATACAGCATAAAAAAGAGGTGAAGAATATTTCTGGACATATTGAGTTTTTAGCAACTAGAGCAGGATCTTCCATAAAAATGTTTTTTCTTTCTAATCTGGGATTCTACACTTCATGCATTTTCTGAGTGCCTAAAATATATATGGCAATAAGAGATGAGTAAGTATCAGTCTCATTAGTACTGTACAAATATAAGTAAGTCATGAGGATTTTTTTTAGGACAGATTGCAAGGATCCTAAGTCTTTTGGGTCATAGAGACAGATTAAATTGTGCTTTTCTCAGCTTCGGTGGCATCACTTTCTCTTATTTGCTCTCCATCTCTCTGGCAAATCCTTAGTATCCCTCCTTCTACCAAATCTCTCAATGCTGGAGTTCCTCAAGGGGTCAGAACTCCTCTTCCTGGGAGAACTCACCAGTTACCAATGGATGGAATACTATCTATCTACATGCTGATGACCAACAAATATATATCTCTAGCTGAGACCTTTCTTCTGAGTTTCAGATTCTAGCATTTGGGACATAGCTAGCCCTTACAGCATCTTTTGAGGAAATTATAAAAAGTTGTCCCTTCCTTAATTAAAAAATTAAAATATTACATTTTATGGTACAACTTAACAGCTGCACATGGGGATCATTCTCCTCACAAATACTTCCAGATGCCAGAGAACATACATCACCAGCAGCAAGCATGGGCATACTCTACACCACCACCCTTGGCTCCCCTAGATACCTAGAAAGGTAACTAGGTCAGGTTCACAGTCAGGTAGTCCCAGAAGGCAGTGGGTAGATGATCAACTCAGTGGAGCTGAGAGCAGTCAAACAGCAGTGTAGCCAGATGCATGTGTGTATACAAGTGTATGTGTACTTGTATTTTCCGGCATCCATGCACAGCTGTAGGATGTGTAAGTACAGATTTTTGTTTGGGGCAGGAGCAGGAAGAGAGTTAACACTGCTCCATAACTCTAACTGGAGATCTGGGATCTTCATGCTTACCTGTGTATTTTCATAAAAAATAGCACATGTCTATATGATGTGAACCCACCTTGGCTCCCTGCATTCCAACCCATAAAGTGATAAATTTTATCTAGCAGCCAAATAAACTTTACAAATATAAATGAAACCACAATTGCCTACCAGAATAAAATTCAATTTAATATGGTTTGCAAGACCCTACGTGATCATAATCTAACCATATCTAGCCACTACTCTGCACTAACCACACTGCATTCTCATCTGTCAAATGCATCAAACTCTCTCCTCTTCCAGTTTTGTCCATACTGCTCCCTCTGGCAGAATACTGTCATTCCCTACACTCTGCCTCTCTAACCCGCCTTTACCCTCTAGATCTCATCTCTCAAGTTTTTTCCTTGGAAAGGCCTTCAGGAGCTCCTAAAACTCCCTCCTGATTAATTTCTTCCAATTCTACTTTGTTTTCCTAACACTTATTATTTGTAATTATGTACTTATTTGTGGTCTGTTTATTTACTAACTGTAACAACATTCCACACGCTCCACAGTCTAAGGGATCATGTTTATTCTGTACACTACTGTAAATGTAGCACCTAGTATAATATCTCCCAGGAACATGGTAAGAACTTTAATAATTTTTGGTTGAAGGGAAAAATGAACATGAACTGAAAGCTTTTTGTCACCTTAAGAAAAAACAAAACAACCAAACTTTGGTTATATATGTTTTGGAATGAACATATACTGGGACTGCAATGTATATAGTTTCTTATCTTTTTTACCCCTACCCAATTCGAGATAAATTTTAAATGGAATTTCGAGTTTAAAGTTAACATATAAAGTGAAAAACCATACAGGGTTGAAATCATCCTGGAAGGTTCCTTAAGAAGGTACTATGTTGAAAGTGACATTCTGTCCGCTGAACAAATCCCTCCTGGCTTGTAACAAATCACTGTGCCTGCTTCTGAGTACTTAATGAAGTAAGTACCTGGCCATATTGTTTCCATCTCCCATTTCAAATTCCATCACGATAATATGCTCATAAAGTGTAGACCATGCACAAGTTCCTGGTGTTAAGTCCTACTGATTGTAAAAACTTGAGAAGTTAAAAGTTAAGCCCCTCTGGTTTTCAAAGCCAAATATTATGGGGATTTACCTTCCCTTTGCGGGTCCCCTGTGCTAGGGGTGCCTGGTGTGGAATCTGTTCTTTTCCTTTCTCTGTGCTTGTTGTGTCCCTTCCTCTCACGGTTGGTCTGGTACGTCAGTTTGGTCCGAGTCTCTGCTCTTCCTGCCATTTTTCATGTGACTCTTCACTATGATTAACTGTGGGAAGTCTGCTGGGCCAGCCTTTGGGTCATTTTCTGGGTTATTTACACAGATGTAAATGTTATCTAGATGTATTTGTGAGATAACTCTGCCATCTTCCCTGGGAACTCCCTACACCTCCCTTTTAAAAAATTCAGATATAAGGGGGAAAACAGCTGGAGAGAGGGAGGGAGGCAAACCATGAGAGACTCTTGAATGCTGACAACAAACTGAGGGCTGACGAGGGTGGGGCAAGAGAAGAGGGTGATGGGTATGGAAGAGGGCACTTGTGGGGATGAGCACTGGGTGTTATATGGAAGCCAACTTGACAATAAACTATTAAAAAAAAAAAGATACTCGGGGCAACTGGGTGGCTTAGTCGGTTAAGTGTCCGACTTTCGCTTGGGTCATGATCTCGTGGTTCGTGGGTTCGAGCCCCGCATCGGGCTCTGTGCTGACTGCCAGCTCAGAGCCTGGAGCCTGTTTCAGTCTGTGACTCCCTCTCTCTCTGACCCTCCCCTGCTCACGCTGTCTCTCTCTCTCCTAGAAATAAATAAAACATTAAAAAAAAAAAAAGATACCCAATCAAAAAAAATAAAAATTCAGATATGGGGTGTCTGGGTGGCTCAGTTGGCTAAGCATCTAACTCCTGATTCTGGATCAGGTCATGATCTTATGGTTTGTGAGATCGAGCCCCAGTGCAGAGCCTGACAGTGAAGAGCCTGCTTGGGATTCCTGCTCTGCCTCTCTGCCCCTCCAGCTCATGTGCTCTCTTTTCTCAAAATAAACAAACACTTATTTAAAGAATAAATAAAAAATAGTGGTGCCTGGATGGCTCAGTTGGTTAAGTGTCCTACTTCGGCTCAGGTCATGATCTCACAGTTTGTGGGTTCGAGCCTCGCGTCAGGCTCTGAGCTGACAGCTAGCTTGGAGCCTGGAGCCTGCTTCAGATTCTGTATCCCCCTCTCTCTCTGACCCTCCCCTGTTCATGCTCTCTCTCTCAGAAATAAATAAAACATTAAAAAAAATTAAAAAAATGAATTTCAGCCAGTTTGTCTTTGAAACTACAGAAAATTTTCTGTAGACAGTATATACAGTTGGATCACATCTTTTTCTCTACCTTGACAATCTCGGCATTTTTAATGGGAGTATAACCCACTTACATTTAATATAGTTACAGATAATGGAGGATTTAGGTCTATTTTTCTACTTTTTTCTCTAGTATCACATCCTTTTTGTTTCTCAGTTTCTCTACTAGTACTTTTTTGTGTTAAATAGACATTTACTAGTGTAGCATTTTAATTCCTATGGTGACTCTTTTTACTATGTATTTTTAGTTACTTTCTTAGTGTTGTTCCAGGAATTACCATTCATGATTTAATATAAATTATCTATTTAGGTTGAAATCTAATTTCAACAATATATAAAAACTTTTCTCCCATATAGATGTCTCCTCCCTTCTTTATGCTGTTATTTCCACAATTTTTATCTCTATACATTTTTGTACAATGAGAATTATTATTGCTTTATGCATGTTTTTAAAATCACATGAAAGAAAATGGAATTGGAAACAAAAATACATTTATACTGTCTTTTATAGTTACCTATGTAGTTATCTTAACTAGCACTCTTTATTTTTTCATATGGATTCAGGTAACGTCTAGTGTCCCTTCATTTCATCCTGAAGAATCCGTTAGTGTTTCCTGTAGGTCAGTATTAATGTAATTTATTTTATTTATTTTATTTTAATTTAATTAACTTAATTCTATCTATTGTGATTTTCAGCTCCAGAATTTCTACTTGGATCTCTTTTTGTAATTTCTAACTTTTCCCTGATATTCTCTATTTGATTAAGACACTGTATTCATACTTTCCTTTAGTTCTTTGATATGGTTTCATTTAGCTTTTCAAACCTATTTTAAATAGCTATGTCTTTGTTTAGTAAGTCTAATGTCTGGAATTTCCCAGAGATAGCTTTTAAACTGCT